CTTTAAACTTTCCTTGGGTTACAGCTAAGGCTTCCCTAGGAGCAGCCGACTTGGCTTTCTGCTTCTGTTTCTGATTAGGATTTCCTCCGGTTTCTTGGGCGACTAATTTGAGCTTGCCACTCCTGAGTCGATCCTCATCTTCACCATTAGCGTACTTGGTGGCAATCTCTATCATCCGGTTCAGAGACATATCTCCGGTCCGACCGAATTTCAGATTCAGTTCCCTGTACTTGACGCCTTCTTTGAAGGCACAGACTGCTTGGTGGTCAGGCACATTCTCTACCGTGTGATGCAACATGATCCATCTCTGAATGTAATCCCTCAAGGTTTCATTCGGCTTCTGCACGCAAGACCGCAGTTCCGTCAGCCCTGCCGGCCTCTTGCATGTTCCTTCAAATATGGTGACAAACACTCGGGCGAGATCTTCCCAAGTGTAAATGCTGTTGGGTGCTAACTGGTTAAGCCATGCTCTGGCCGAGCCCTCCAACATGAGAGGCAGGTGTTTCATGGCCACTTCATCATTGCCGCCGCCAATCTGGACGGCCACTCGGTAGTCTTCAAGCCAAGTATCGGGCTTGGACTCGCCAGTGAACTTGCTGACTCCAGTCGCCAACCTGAAGTTGGGAGGAATCACAGCGGCCCTGATGGCTCTACTAAAGCACTCTGGCCCCGAAACATGTGCTCTGCTGCTGGCAGGAGCATCTCTGTCGTGACCTTCTCGGTGAGCTCTATTCCTGTCGACCAAACCTTGAACGAGAATGGATCTCGCATCAAAGCCTGGCTCCCTGGAGTCGACTGGAATCCTTCGCCCAACACTACGAGGGCGCCTGTCATCCTGTTGTCGAGGCGCACACGACCCGCTCCTCGAGGGAGGGGTGGGCACTCGACGTCGATCATCACAATCGAATCGGTGATCATATTGCTCATGGTTCCCATACTGATTACGCTGGTCCCCACGTCCTTCACGCCTTGGGGGCGATCTTGGGCTATGAGCCGACTGGACTGTGTCCGCGACAACAGATCTGCTGTGAATCCTGTTCCACGACTGAGAAACAGTGGAATTCTGGTCTCCTGCTGCCCAGAGTAACGCTCTGATCTGCAGCAAGCCTCTGCCAGCCTCCGACTGGGAAGGCTGAATCGACTCTGCTATACGGGCTGCAGCTGCTAAATTCTGAATCGGAGTTCGATATTACCTGCGGGGGCGGGAAGAGCTGATGTCGACTGGATTCGGGAACCCGTTGTCGCGCACGCTCGTCGAGTGCTCGCTGGAGGTTCTCCAGTCGAGTGCGCTCGGCCAAGTTTGCCAGGCGCGCATCTTCCAAGGCACGAGCCTTGGGGGTTTCTCCAACGATAGGAGTGTGCAGTGCATCCATGTTCCGGCGGCGAAGTTATTCTCTCTGTAGCGACGTGAGAGGCTCGAGAAGATATTCCTCATGGGGACGCGACGGGTCGCCTCCACCCGCGCCTCCGTCGGTGTGGGGAAAACCGGGAGGACTGGGCGGTCCATCGACCATCAGAACCTCCGCCGCCGGATCGCTGCTGTCGCACTCGGATGCGGTCTCTACGGAGCCGGTCGAACAGGCCGTAGTGGGATTCGTCGGGCTCGATCGCCGCGACTTGAGGGGTGGCCGACTGGCGTGCCACCGCGTGTCTCACCCACCGCTGAAGTCTCGACCGACCGGAGCGCTTGCGCCGGCGGGAAACAGGGAGGGAGGACAACACAGGAGCCGACCGGTAGGGGTTCGACGGTTGCCGCAGGAGAACGCCGCGGACGCACGCGCTATAGTGCGTTGCCCCGCGGACAGGGAGTGCGTCCACGTCGAGCGGAGCCTCCTGAAGCCAAGCGGAGTCGTAGGCGATGAACGTGAGCGCGCCGAGACGGATCTCGCGGCCCTCCGCCAAAACTCCGCCGAAAACCATGATGATTCGGGTCGGAAAAGATCGCCAACTCCTCCAACAAAACGCTAAAACACCGGCCCCATGGTGGGCGCCAACTGTCGTGGTTCTAAGTCTGACAGTAGTGTAGGGGGGTAAGTATGGGGAGGCAAGATCTTAGCTATGGAGAAGTTGTAAGCATGCAAGGTTTACGAGTTCAGGCCCTTCTCGGAGGAAGTAATAGCCCTACGTCTCGGAGCCCGGAGGCGGTCGACTGGATTATGCGTGTATGAATTACAGGGGTGCGAACCCTTGTCTCGGAGGAGGGGGTGGCTTATATAGAGTGCGTCAGGACCCTAGTCAGCCCACGTTACAAAGGGTTCAATGTACATTAAGGCAGGGCGTTACTGGTACGCTAGTAATAAAGTGCTATGATGACCATAAAAGCTACTTAATAACCAACCGTTAGCATGCGGAGTGCCTTTTGGTCTCCTGACTGTCGAGTGGCTTGGTCTTGGTCAAGTGGTTGCTTCTTGGTCGAGTATCTTCGAGTCTGTCGAGTGGAACACCTCCAAGTCGATTGAAAGATAATTTCTTCTGGAGAAGTCCTTGGGTAGGTCAGTTTGGACAGGTCCATGCCCCTACCCTAGGTACATAGCTTCATCAGTGCCCAGCTTTTTCTTGTCACCTACGCAATTCGGGTACAACAATTTTTTGTGATCCTCTAACATGCGCTGCAACTTCTTCTCCAAATCACTTGCGCAGTTTCTCTTTGCATCGGCAATGGCCCGACCTAGATCATCAACGGGCTCATCCGATGCCTCTTCTCAGCTTCTTCCCGCATTGCCGGCTCAGCTTCTTCCCGTATTATCGGCTTAGCTTCTTCCCTCATTGTTGTATCATCGTATTCAGGGAACCCATGGCCAGGATAGCTGTCATCGTCCTCTTCTTCTTCATTGTCTTCCATCATAACCCCTCTTTCTCCATGCTTGGTCCAAACATTATAGTGGGGCATGAAACCGGACTCAAACAGGTGGACGTGAATGGTTCTTGACGTAGAGTAACTGTGACCATTCTTACAGCCAGCACATGGACAAGGCATAAAACCATCCGCCCACTTGTTTGCCTCAGCCGCAAGCAGAAAAGTATGCACGCCATTAATGAACTCGGGAGAGCATCGCTCATCGTACATCCATTGTCGGCTCATCTTCAATACACAGCACCGAAAACATTAAATTAATACAATACATAAAGTTCATACATAAAGTTCATACAACACTTAAATGCAACAAACAAATAACTCTCTAGCTAAAGAATTTAAATGCAACAACAAATGTGATCAAGATCGCAACTAAAGTAATAATTGATCCAACAGCATAATGATACCAAGCCTCACTATGAATGGCATATTTTCTAATCTTTCTAATCTTCAAGCATATTTTCTCCATCTTAATTTTGTGATCATCGACGACATCGGCAACATGCAACTCCAATTCCATCTTCTCCCCGTCAATTCTTTTCAATTTTTCTTTCAAATCCTCGTTTTCTCTTTCAACTAAATTTAACCTCTCGATAATAGGGTCGGTCGGAATTTCCGGTTCAACTACCTCCTACATACAAATATCCATGTCAGCTTGATGGGCATAATTTGTCATAAACACGAAATGCAACAAATAGTTTTAAAAGATAATATACCACATCCGAATCATAACAAGGGCAAGGGCTGACGGGGACGGATATCAAAACCATGGCACTATGTATAACAAACAACGTACGGGTAAGATAATTATACGAGTAACTATATATCCAAATCACACAAATATCAATTTTTTATATAAAATTTCATGAACAAGAGGCTCACCACAAGGTGGTGCCGGCGACGGGACGGTGCGGGCGATCGACGGTGGTTACGATGGAGATTTAGAAGGCACTAAGTAAACCACACTTACATATGCAAACTAAGTGTTATTTTAACCTCAATTTGCATATAAATCAAATACTACCACATATAATTCCTCCCAAATTACTAAAACCCACAATTAATCACTATATAAACCAATGCAAGAGCTAATCTAGCAACGAGAGATGAAAGGACAAAGTTGCTAAACTTTGTGATCATTTGAATGGATGGGGGCCTGCAAATCTTGACAAATTTAGGGCAAATTTTGTGATGAACTCGAGAGGAAGAAGGGAAGAACAGAAGAGAGGGAGAGGGGAAAGGGGGAAGAACAGAGTGCTGGTGGACGAAGTGTTTATATAGGACGATCTTTAGTAAAGGTGCTGGAGGGGCCCCACTCTGAGAACATCATGTCACCACTCTCATTAGTACCGGTTCGTGGCACGAACCGGTGCTAAAGGTTCGCCACGAACTGGTACTAAAGAGCTCCTACGCCTAGCCGTTGGAACCAGCAAACCGGCACTAATGTGTCACACATTTGACCCTTTTTCTACTAGTGGTAGTGGCTGGGTAGGCTGCCCGGACGTTTGAGGAGGATATGTGGGCTCCGTCTGTAGATGATCTAAGCGAGAGATAACTCCTGCGTTTTCTGTGTTGCAGTGCAGCGTTTTGGTGCTCGGGCTACATGGAGCCCTTTTTGAGATATTCAAAAATTATGATTGAAGGTTTCAATATATATTTTTGAAAATATTTTCACATTAACATATAGATGTATACTACATTTGTGTAAAATTACATACAAAAATTACATTGTTTCATGAGCTACACAAAAAATAACGTGTCAATGTATATACATCTATATATTTTGAATATCACTGTTCGCTATTTTCAAAATCATCAATTTGTCTTTTTTCGTGTAGCCTGCATGTCAATGTATTTCGTCATGAGAATTTGCACAAATTCAGTATACATCCAGTTTTTTTTTAAAGGACTGAAGCATTAAAAAAACGTGTTCCATGAAGCCCGAGTACGAAAATGCATTTATGTGGTCCTCCGGCGTGCGTTCTTAGGCTGGAACCAGTACCCCGAACCTCCTCACTCCTCAGATCTAGAACCTCTACCACCGCCACGGCGCCGCCCCAGCCTCTCGCCGGCCGCGACACCCCGTTCTCCTTCGTCTTCCCCGGGCTCCGATCTGGTCGCCGGGACCCCATGTCTCAAGGAACCGATGGTTGACATGGATTCGGCGCCTCAGGACGTGCTCGTGGAAGTCTTCCGCCGCCTCGCACCGCGCGGCCTCGCTTCATGCCGCTGCGTGTGCAGGGCGTGGCATGCCACCGTCGACGCCAACCTCCTGCTACGCGCGGATCTGCTCCCGCTCACGCTGGACCGCATCTTCTTCGAGACCTCCATGTTCAGCACCTCGAGGCTCTTCTCCCGCCGCTCCACGGGGCGCAAGGTGACCTCCAGGCTAGACTACTTGGACTGCCCGCTCGCAAGAGCTGATCTCTATTGGCCGATCATGGATTGTTGCAACGGCCTTCTCCTGCTGGCGGATTCGGATCATGTTGTCAATCCTGCCACCCGACAGTGGGTGCGGTTCCCCCCGCCGCCGCGCTCCTGCACAGCCACAGATTGCCACAAATGCTTTGATTATCGTTATCTTGTGTACGATCCCACCGTGTCGCCACACTATGAGGTGTTTTCAGTCCCTTTGATTCCATTCAATCTTCCAACGGGGCATCTCTCTAGGCATATATGTCATGATGATCAGTTGGTCTCTGCGATGGAATGACCGCCGTCGCCTTACATAATGCATGTTTTCTCCTCAAAAACTGGGTTATGGAAGGAGAAGTCATTTATTCGCCAAGGGGATTCCGCAGGAACAATCGCAGAGGTAAGATCGGCTTATGAACCATTCTACAGTGCTGCCTATTGGAAAGGGGCGCTCTATGTTCATTGCGAACAAGATTCCGTTTTCAGGTATATCAACGCACACCTTAGGCATACAGTTAGAGTTCCAAAATATTTTCCTTACCAAGGTATTTTCAATTTATTTATGTTTAACGACGATTTGATTTCTTTTTTCAGAATTAACTTGTTGCATGATGAGTACCAACTAATTAAGCTTCCAAAAGGAAAAGAAGGATATCACAAAGTTCGTATTGGAAAATCGAAGAATGGGGTGTATTCTGTATTCTGCGAAGGGCTATGCACATTTCAGGTTTGGTTCCTTGATGAATCGCATGGCCAGACGGAGTGGGTATTGAAAAGTGACATAAACCTTCAACCAGCTGACAAAAATTATGCTTGGAACGAGTTGGACGATGGCCCCTGGAGCTTACAATCGGACGATCAGAGGGACTGGGTGTTGAAGAATGATGTCAACCTTGAGCCAGTGGACGGCATCAGGGGAGCAACAGTGCAAGATGATTTTGAATGGGACACTGACAATGAATGTATCATTGGCACTACAGATTGGGGGAAAAAAAATGAAAATCCAACATACTTTCATTGTCTTGGATTTCATCCTTACAAAGAGATTCTTTTGTTTCATGGGGCCCGTAGAACAGTCGCCTGCTATTTTGATAGTTTGAAATTTCGAGACCTGGGTAAGATGGACTATAGATATGGCGAGATACGGGAGTGTTTTCCATATGCCTCTTGTTGGATGAGAAACTTACCAGGAAGCAACTAATGCAGAAAACCACCAGTATCTTTTTCCCCTCTTAATTACTGTTGAGACTTGAGAGTATTTGGTCTGAAGCAAATGGCTTGTAGCTTCCTTTTAATTTATAATAGTGCTCTATCCTATTATGAGAAATAACATGAGTAATATTTTATTTTAATTTATTTTTTATGGTCAACAATAGTATGATGTTATACTGCTTCTGTTAGATGGCTGCATGGTTAAGCTCGTCCTCAGCATACTCGGAGCAGATGTCGGATTTCAAATTCTGAGTTCCAATCATACGACGCTTCATGGTTTGACTTGAGAACGATGCAAAATCCGACGCTCAGGTGCACTTTTGTTCCCTGCACCGACGGCTTGATCCAGTGCGTTGTATGAAGATCGGACAAGTGGCCTGATCAGCAGCGTCTTAACAAAATGGGACAAAAGGTGTCACGGTAAAGATGAGTTCTCCTATAAGTAATGACCAGTTCATTTCAGTCGATATTGGTACGACAGTGATCTAGATGATCCATATCGGGATTGGACCAATTTTCGGCCCAATCAATCAACCCAAAACGGCGGGACGATGGATGAATGGGGCTTGCCGTGAGGATCCCTGAAGAAATGAACACTGCAGTTAACTGACGAACTCTGAAGATGTGTGCAACCTTTCGTCAGTTATCCAACGAACAATTAGGGAGCGTTTTTCTGTTCTTTTTTACAGTTTTTATTTCTAATAGAGAAAAACGAGGTGGGGAGTGGAAAGCGGATGACCGTTGGATCGATGTAGGAGCAGAGCAAACAATCGGAGCAGGCAAGCCTCACCCAGGATGGACTGGTTGCTTTTAGGCTGTTTGATGAAATGAACATAAGAAGTGGCATTTTTTCTGTTGTTAAGCCATCTGGATAAAGCGAGTTTCAGTACTCCACCAGTCTTAAATCTTCCCTCAGGTACATTGGTACTAATTGCACAATTAAATAGTTACATGAGTTTTCTGTTAACTTGAAAGAATATATCCAACAAATGACTGGATGGAGATGACGCTGAACAATTTAGTTGCTACTTGATCGTCCCTCATCATCAGTCATTTGCTCTTGATTCACATGATTGACAGATGGAGAAACAGCAGCGCTGCTCCTACATCAATGCAATGGTCATCAGCTTTATGAGTTCATTGGCGTCTTAGAATGTTTTTCTTTTAGGGGGCGTCTTAGAATGTTGTCATGTATATTAATTAACAGTTAATCAGCATTTTTGAGATAATAATAGTTATTTATTTTATTTTGAGGTTCTTGCATGTCGAGAGACCATTGCTTTGGCACAGGACCTGGGCCTTCAGTACTTACTCCTTTCATCTGATTGTCTCAGAGTCGTCCGGGAACTCGAGTTGATGAAGAACCTGGGTGGACACTCTATGGCTCTTTATGAGATCAAGGAAAGAAGCAACTTGTTTGGATCATGCAAATTCTGCTACGAACAGCGCACTACCAATGGGGAAGCACATAGATTGGATAGGATGGCATCCTCGATGGATGCAAGACGATATATTTGGCTAGATTCTCCTCTAGCAAATTTATGCATCCCTGAACTGGCCCAAAAACAATTCCTACAAAAACCGGTTAGGTTTTGGATTTTTTTTTGTCGGTTTTACTTAGTTTTATTTCCGATTGTTTATGTTTATTGTTTCTGTTTGTTTTTTCCTACATATATGAATATATTTTTAATTGTGAACTATTTTTCGTATTCAAGAACTTTTTAAAATTCATGAACACTGCTGATATATTGTGAGCTTTTCTTAAATTTGTAAAACAATTCCAAATTCATCTTTTTCTAAATTTTGCAAACATTTTTCTAATCCATGAACTATTTTAAACCTGTGACATTTTTATAAATTAGGAATACATTTTTTAAATTTGTACTCCTTTTCAAATTATTGAACTTTTTAAAATCCAGGAACCTTTTTTGCATGTATGAATTTCCAATGTATAAAAACCCAGAAATCAGGTTTTCTGCTCAACCTGTAGCTATTTATTTTTTAACTGGCAAGAGCGACCAAGCGATCGAGACAAGATGACCGGGCGAGCGATCAGGCGACACCGTGAGGTGACCAGGAAAGCAGGAAAGCGCTCTTGATCCATGGCCTGTCTATTGCACGAGCGAGTGCCAGCGCAAATTCCACCGCCTCAAGCACTGAATAGGAGCTCCCCAAAACTAGCTCTTCACAAGAATTGCAAATAACATCTCTTATGCCTCTAGGGAACCGGCTACCATTCTTTCTTTACAAAAAATATTATTGTAAAAAATCTTCATAGATTTAAAATGTTTATGAATTTTTAAAATATTATTGTATATAAAACAGTTCATAGATTTAGAAATATTCATGAATTTTTTTCAAAATCATAAAAAAAATGAAAACCACATATTTGTAAAATTTCCGTGAAATTAAGAAATGGAGTCGACTTAAAAATGTTCACGAAATAAGAAAAGCGTTCAAGATTTTTAGTAATTTTTTTAAAAAATTATGGATTTTATAAATGTTCATTGATCTTGAAATATTTGCTAATTTCAAAAAGAAAAAATGTAAATTAAAAAAGAAACAAAAATAAAAACTGGTTAAAAGATAGTAGAAAGAAAAGAATCAGGATAAGAAACGAGCGAAAGAAACAAATCAAAAAAGCATAACACAAAACAAACAGACAGACATACAAAAGCTAGCAAAAAAACAGGAACAAAAGCCAAAAAAATGTAAAACCAAAAAAACGGAAGAACCAATAGGCGCTTAATGCCCAAAGCTACGAGTCGGGTCGGCCCACAACCCGACAGGTTGTGTGTTTTTTCTAAAAATAAAAGACACTATTCTATGCAAAAAGTTTTAAGCAGGAGATTCCCGAAGAAGACCTGCTTTACAATCCGATCTTTTGTGAAATTTTCGTGTGTTTAAAAGTCAGCCGACTGGAGCGGAGGGAAATTAGCCATGCCACCCAAAATCATGATCTGTGGTCATCTGATCCTTTCAACGGAACCCTCGCTTGGAACCTTTTGTAATAGTTTGCAACATCTTTGCACTATTTTCTCAGGATGCGTATAAAAAACATTGCATCACTAGGGCTTGTTGAGCTGTGTCCTCAGCATTAACCCTTATGGATCCTGTGTTCTGTATGAATTTGGTGTGAGTGTGTGTGTGTGTGTTTGAACCTATGTGGATTGTTGGCTTGGGCATGTGCTTTATAATATAAAGCGGGGCGAAAGCCTTTTTCGAAAAAAAAACATCGCATCATTTAACACACGTGCTGAGAAAAAAAAATGTAGAAGTGCATGCTATAAATGATGCAACCAAAATACCGATCTGATGAAAAAAGCTAGGCAATACATTTATACGTCAACACTCTCCTTACGTGTAGCTCCATCAGGCCTAAACATGGACCGAAAGTGGGTTGCAATTTAATTGCGCCAGCCGGGTCTTGAAATCAAGAACTCTTAGCTCCGATATAATGTAGAAGTGTATGCTCTAGCCAAGGCAACCAAAAGACCGATATGATGGAAGAGACTAAGCAATACATTTATACGTCAACGAAAAACCATGGCACGTATTCATCATGGAAGCCGAGACCCGCAACACCTAAAAAGTTACTTCGAGCATGAACACTAGCACTTCACCACACACTCAACATTTATCATAGCACATTTGATGTGTAGCTTGTAGCATGTGGGAAAACACAAAGACATCATAAAAAAACTATGAATCACTGACATTCATGTTTTTAGCACTAACCTCTTCATCAACAAATCTAGAGCCCCATTGGCACTGGATCCTATGCTATTTCTACAAACCTTTTGGATATCTGAATTGGATGTATTTTTTCTTCCAAAAAATGATGCTTTCTTCATCTCCAAAATAAAAAGGATGAAACCTTTACAACTATCCTTTAATAAATTTATGTGACTTAGGAGAGTTTGCTACATTTTCCTTAATGGTAAACATTTTCAAAACGAGGTATATCCATATGGGGAGAATGGGGCACAAAGTCACCATGCTCGGATTAAAATTCTCAATGTATCACCAACATCCCTCCTATCCAACTTCTAGAGGTTGGTGAAGAAAGCCAAAAATAGTTGGTAGTTAGAAACTTATGTGAACTTGCATGGATCTTAAATAGAAAATTAGCATGTAGTTACATCAAAACCAAGCAATACTTTGTACTTCCACCGAAACAAAAAAAAATAGAAACCATGTGATTTATGTAGTTCCGGTACTCAGTTCAGGCACACAAGGCGCAAATAGCAAACATTTGACTGGCCCGAAGATGAACAACATGGTGATGAATGAAGAACAAAGACAAAGAAGCATAAAATTGAGTTCAAAGCCATCATGTTCAAAATAAATAAATAAAGATCTTGAGACCAAGTTAGAAAACTCGACAATCACGAGTACCAAAGTTGGAGAAGAATGTGTTCCAAGTAATATCTAGTGCACATGAATCAATGATCATCATCACCGACGTAAAGAGTACATGCTGGGGACAATCCACATAGGTTGCACCTTGTTGTCACGACCCATGAAAATAAAGACGTTTTCACTAAGTTTGGAATGATCTCCCTCCAACGGCTTGCCAACCTCTAATGCAACCCAATGTTTAGACTCATGGTTATAACAGTATATGCAGTTGCTCCTCCCTCCCCATATCTCTGGGTTCATGCAAGACAATGCTTGACTTCTCTTGTCGGTGCTGATGAAAATCGCCCAATTCTCTACCTTCTCCACCTTCAGCCATAATGCAGGTTCAGTTGATAGGTCGAGGAGGAAGACTTCGAAGATTACCCCTGATACTGCCAAAGGTCCCTGAAAGCCGACCAAGAGTAGCATATCGCCACACGCCACCAGCCATGTCTTGGAAAGTTGCCATTTACTGATCATGCTCGACCCCATAACTAGCAGTTCTTGTACGTTTATCTTGGGTGTCAAGTGCACTTTGAAGATCCTGCGATCGGAATCCATGCCATAGACCCGCCCTTTGAGGATCAC